AAATTATCGGACAATCTCTTTTATATCCCATGCAAGTGAAGATTGCTAAAGGCAATACAGAAATGGCTATAATCATACATTGACAGAGAACTTCCAGAGGTTCAAGCCAGATTCAGAAGAGGCTGTGGACATCATTGCTGATGTCCTATGGATCTTTTCTGAAAGCAGAGAATATCAGAAATATGTTTACTTGTGTTTCATAGATTACACAAAGGCTGTTGATTGTGTGGATCATGACAAGCTATGAACAACCTGGTGAAGAATGAGTATTATGGAACACTTAATTGTGCTCGTGAGGAATCTGTGCATGGACCAAGAGGCAGTTGTTCGAACAGAATATGGGAACACTGAATGTTTTAAAATTAAGAAAGGTGTGCAACAAGGTTGTGTTCTTTCACTATACTTATTCAATCTGTATGCTGTGCAAATAATGCAAGAAGCAGGGTTCTATGAAGAAAAATGTGGCATCAGGATTGGAGGAAGACTTATTAACAACCTGTGATATGCAGATGATACAACCTGGCTTGCTGATAGTGAAGAGGACTTAAAACATTTACTTATGAAGATCAAAGAGCACAGCCTTCAGTATGGATTACATCTCAATGTCAAGAAAACAAAAATCTTCACCACTGGACCAATAAACAACATTCTTATCAATGGAGAAAAGATTGAAGTTGTCAAGGACTTCATTCTTCTTGGATCAACTATCAACATTCGTGGAAGCAGCAGTCAAGAGATCAGATGACATATTGCATAAAGTGTTGAAGAGCAATGATGTCACCTTGAGGACTAACTAAGACATGCCTGACCCAAGCCATGGTATTTTCAATAACCTCATATGCATGCGAAAGCTGGACAGTGAATAAGGAAGACCGTAGAAGAATTGATGCCTTTGAGTTGTGGTATTGGAGAAGAATATGGAAAGTGCCATGTGCTACTGAATAAGGCTGTGAACCGCATGGTCAGCAGTTTGAAACTACCAGCTATTCAGTGGCATAAAGATGAGGCTTTCTATTCCCGCAAAGATTTACAGCCCTAGAAACAGGGTCACTATGAGTCAGAACCGACTCCACAGTACATAACCACCATGGAGTGCCAAAAGAACCAATAAATTTGTTTTGGAAGATGTGCAGCCAGAGTGCTCCTTAGAGGCCAAGATGGCCAATCTTTGTCTCTCATACTTTGGATATATTGTCAGGAATGACCAGTCGCTGGAGAACGATATCATGTTTGGTAAGGTGGAGGGTCAGAGAAATAGAGGAAGACCCCCAACGACATGGATTGGCCAGGTGGCAGCATTGATGGACTCAAGAGTGGCAACAGTAGTGAGTTTGGCCCAGGATCAAGCAGTGTTTTATTCTGCTGTGCATAAGGTCGCTATGGATCGGTACCAACTTGATGGCACCTAACAACAACAATAACAAGCTCAATGGTAACTTATAATTACTACGGGGTTCAAGGGAGAAGGAACTGATTTTAATTTTTATAGACCTGGAAACAACAGAGCAAAACAAAACAAAAACAAAAAAAACCTTCTGTGAATGTAAGTCATATTTTCCCACAGCAACAAAATTTTTATGTCACTGTTTCACAGATAAGACATTTTGATATGATAGCTTCTGTTTTGTTTTGTTTCTTTGTTTATTTGCTTTCCTTTTATACAACCTAACATCTTCCTATACTGATCCAGTTGAAAGTTATGAAAATGAGGACTTTTTGATAAGAGGAGAATGGTTAATAACAATATCCCAGATGTTGTTGTTGTTAAGTGCCATTGAGTCGACTCCAACCCATAGCGACCCTATATAGGGTTTCTGAAGAGCAGCTGGTGAGCTTGAACTGCCAACCTTGCAGTTCAAACGGCTTTGCAGTCTGGTACATCAACCCAAAGTGCTACAGCAGAACACCATCTCAGACATATAAAATGCTAATTATCTAACAAGAATTGTTGTAGCCCTTCACGTGTAAGTACTGTACCATTATTATAAGCTCCACTTCATAAATGCTTTGTTGAAACAAAGTTGACCCAACAAAGTTGAGGCACACATTTGTTAAGCTATCAGGACTGAATTTGAACCAAAAGATTCTGGCTCTTAATTTCATACCCTTAACCAATACACTGCTGTTGCTGTTAAGTGCCATTGATTCATTTCTGACCCATAGTGATCCTGTATAGGGTTTTTGAAAAGTGTCTGGTGAGCTTGAACCATTGACCTTGCAGTTAAGATGACTTTGCAGTCCAGCCCATTAATCCACAGCACCACACCAGGACTCTAATATACAGTGATAGAATTATCCAGAGACATGTATTTGATTTGTATATGAACAGAACTAGGAGACAAAGTAAGCTAGAAAAAAAAATTAAATGTTTTATCTGGGGCATGAGAGAGTATACTGGAGTTAGGCTAGAAGAAACTCCAGAATAACACTGGTTAAATAATTATTAGAATAGATGGTATAGACTTGTGAAGTATTGCTGCACTCCATAAGTAAGAACTTTTAAAGTATTATATCACTGATGCAAGTAAAATATAGAAGCATATATTTACATATTTCTTCATGGCTGATATTGTCTTCACTGAATATAATCACACAAGAACAAGCTATGTGAGTTTTCTGTTTACTTGGATTGTACATTTCTCTGAGTGGCATGCTGCTAAATTTATAAATTGATATTAAAACCAAATAATCAGTGGGACAGCGAATATATAAATATGAAAAGCAAAAACAAAGCATAGCACAGAAGTCTGTATAAATTTAGGAGATGTCAAATTTTAGGTCATATCTAAGTTTGTACATGCTGATATGATATGAGATATAGATGGGTTTTATGCATGTTCAAGTTCTTATGATATCAAAATCATATGCTTTCATTCCTCACTGATCAATATGCTTCAGTGACAAATACCAACTTCTTATGCAAAAACGGACAATGACCATATCAGATCACAGAATTGATTAATGACATCATTACATAGTTTCCAAATTGCATCATTATATAACTGTCAAATTGAATCATTATATAACTATCAAACCAAAGAGAATCATGACTCAGACTAGTTAACATATAATCTTAACTAATACAGTCAGTGCTGCTCTTGCCTTATACCTCAGCATTCATTATTGCCAGATGGATGTCATTCATACACAAACTAGTTGGATAGTTGAGGTTTCACTTTTGTATATGTGAAATGTTGAAAAATAATCAGTAAGTGAGGATTAGATGATTCAACAAGCTCTGTGGTGAGAAGCAGGAATGTCTTTCAGTCTATTCCTTCTTCTTCCCATAATTTGGGACCATAGCTTCTTCATGGCATTCTTCATCTCATTGTTCCTTAATGTGTATATCAGAGGATTGAGCATGGGAGCAATGATAGTATAAAATAATGCAAACACTTTATCTTCTGGTAAAGTAGTTGCTGGTCGAATATAAACAAAGAGTAAGGGAGCAAAAAACAGGACCACCACTGTAATATGGGAAGTGCATGTGGAAAGAGCTTTGCGACGATTCTCTCTGGAATAGGACTTGACAGTGTATAATATTACAGCATAAGATATCAACAGGACAACCAAAATCACTAGACCCATCAAACCAGAATTGGCAATGACCAAGAGTCCAATTCTGCTGGTATCAGTACAAGCCAGTTTCAGCAAAGGATAGACGTCACAAAAGTAGTGATCTATTTCATTAGGACCACAGTAGGGCAAGAAAATTGCAAGCATAAACTGACCAAAGGAGTGCAGGAAACCCCCAAAACAGGAAGCAGCCATAATGACCCCACATGTCCTTCTGCTCATGATGACAGTGTAGTGCAGAGGCTTGCAGATGGCCACATAGCGGTCATAGGCCATCCCTGTGAGGATGAAGACCTCAATCCCCCCAAAGAAGTGCATGGTAAAGAGCTGTGTCATGCAGCCATTGTAGGAAATGGTTTTCTTTTCTGCCAGCAAGTCAATGACTAACTTGGGTGTCACAGTGGAGGTATAGCAGAGATCAGAGAGTGAGAGGAAACTCAGGAAGAAATACATGGGCTGCTGGATAAGTTGGCTGCAGGTGACAGAAATCATTATAAGCAGGTTTCCTGCCAAAATTGCAATGTAGGAAAGTAAAAATATTATGAAAAATAATATTTCTACTTCCTTTTGCTGAGAAAATCCTAAGAGAATAAATTCTGTGATGTTATTCCTATTTTCCATGATCCAGAGAAGAAGTTTGTAGCCACCTACAATTTAAATAAATGATGAATTCTTCTAAGATATATGTAAATATGCTGATGCATCATTCCTTGCATGGGGAAGCTTTAATGAATATAGTTCAGGGGTGGAAGCCATGGAAATTTTATTATTCTTAAGGATGGCTTTCCTGCAGAGTACTTTGATACTTTCTAGAAACAATAATTACTGGCAAAGAATTAGCTTGTTGAGATGATACATAGAAACATTGCACACATACCCATGTTGTAATTGTTGTATTTGTGTGTCTTCAAGTTGATTCTGACTTAAAGCAACCCTATATGACAGAACAATAGAACAATAGATAACCAGGTCTTTTCTCTTGTGTAGCTTCTCGTATGTTCAAACCACCAAACTTTTGATTAGCTTCTGAGAACATAGCTATTGTACCATTAAAGTTACCTCTCTATATATGAGTGTGTGTGTATGTTTGTGTATATATATATATGTAAAGAAGCTCTGGCAGTGTAGTGTATTAAGTGCTAGGTTCTAATCTGCCAGTAGCTCCACAGTATATATATATAAATATCTATATATCTCTCTCTGGTAGCGTAGTGGTTACGAATCGGGCTGCGCTATCTCTGGTAGCGTAGTGGTTACGAATCGGGCTGCGCTATCTCTGGTAGCGTAGTGGTTACGAATCGGGCTGTGAACCTCAGGGTCAGCAGTTCGAAACTACCAGCTGCTCCGCGGGAGAAAGATGAGGCTTTCTACTCCCGTAAGGATTTACACCCTCGGAAACCCTGTACAGGGTCGCTATGGGTCGGAACCGACTCGATGGCACTTAACAACAACAACAACATATATAGATATATATATCATATGGAGTACTGGTGTGGTGCCGTGGATTAATGTGCCAGACTGCAAAGCCATTTGAACTGCAAGATCTGCGGTTCAAGTTCACCAGCTGCTCCTAGGAAACCCTATACTGTGTCGCTATGGGTTGGAACAGACTCGATGGCACTTCACAACAACAACTATATATATATATATATATGCTGGTGTCATGCTGTAGGATAAGCACTGGATCACAAAGTCAGTTTGAACTGCAAGGCTGATGTTCAAATCCACCAGCCTGCCTTGGAAAGCATATACATGGTTGCTATGAGTCAGAAGAGTAAGTGGAATGAGGTTTATCATTGCTGACATCAGATGGATATTGGTTGAATACAGAGAATAACAGAAAGAGGTTTACCTTTACTTTATGGACCACTCAAAGGCTTTCGATTATGTGGATCATGACAAGCTATGGATAGCATTGAGTATTCTGGATCACTTTATTGTACCCATGAGGAACGTGTGTATAGACCAACACGTAGTTGTTTGAACAGAACAAGGGGACACTGAATGGTTTAAATTTAGGAGAGCTGTGTGCCAGGGTTGTATTATTTCACCATAATTATTCAATCTTAATGCTGATCAAATCATCCAATAATTGGATTATAAGAAGTACAATGTGGCATCAGAATTGGAGGAAGACTCATTAAAAACCTGCGATATGCAGCTGATGATACTTTCTTTGTTCAAACCCAGGAGGACTTACAATATTTACTGACGAAGATCAAGAACCAAGGCCTTTGGTATGGGTTACACCTCAATATAAAAAAACAAAAATCCTCACCACTGGACTAAAAACAACAGCAAGATAAATGGAGAAAAGATTGAATTTGTCAAAGACTTCATTTTACTCAGATCAACCAACATTCATGGAAGCAGCAGTCAAGAAATCGAGTGATGTATCATAGTAGGCAAATCTGCTGCATAAGACCTCTTTAAAACGTTCAAAAGCAAAGATGTCAGTTTGAGGAGTAAGGTATGCCTGACCCAAGCCATGGTATATTCAATAATTCCATATGCATGTGAAAGGTGAACAATGAATAAGGAAGACCATAGAAGAAGTGATGCTTTTGAATTATGGTGTTATAGGAGAATATTAAAAGTACCATGAAATGCCAAAAGAATAAGCAGATCTCTGGAGGATGAAGTACAGACAGAATGCCCTTTGCCAACCAGGATGGCCAGACTTCATCACTTTTAGTTCTGACATATTATCAGGAGAGACCCATCCCTGGAAAAGGATATCATGTTTGGTAAAGTGAAGGGTCAGAGAAAAAGAGGAAGACCCACAAAATGATGGACTGGCATGGTGGCAGCAGCAATGGACTTAAGTGTAGCAATGATTGTTAGGTTGATGCAGGACTGCAAAGTGTTTCATTCTGTTGTGCATAGGGTCACTATGAGTTGATATTGACTGCATTGCACTTAACAACAACAACAATATGAGTCATATTGACTCAATGGCTATATATATATATATATATATATACACACACATCGACAGCACTTGACAACAACATATATATGAGTGTATGTTCTTTCCTATTATATATCATTGACTATTTATTCAAGCATTCTATCAACATACAATATCAAACAATACCTGGATATAATGCCTTAATAGAATTAAAAAATTCACCCTTCTAGAAAAATAATCAGATCTTATTGTGGTCTCAGTCTTTTAATTGTGATATATACATAGATGGAGTAGCAAGAGGGATAACTCAAAGACCAAGCAAATATATTTAATAATTGTGTTCATAATTTTATACATAAAAATGTCCTACATTTATCATATGTGTGTGTAAAATTTAACAGAAAAATCAACATGTGTATTTTGAATTATAAGGCACTGATGAGTATAATTTGCTACAATTTTCTTACATGCGTCCTCCTTCCTATTTTATTCACTTATTTTCAATAAAATTGACTTTACTTAGGGTGTCTTTCTGTTTCTATACAACACTGTCATGATTTAATCTGTTTTTTATTGTTGCATTGAACATTGAAGAAAGTTTTCATCTATAGACATTATTGTATTTTACACCAAAACATTACTCTAAAGAGGCAAAATATTAAAATAATTTTTATTTTATGGCAATTTTAAACTTTTTATACTATTTCCCTTACTATTATAAATGTTGGCCATGTTCTTTGATATTTTTATCCTTATCTCAGTGTTATGATCTATCTAATGTCTCTTCTAGCTATAATCCGTAACTTCCACCAAACAATGTTTCTGCCCTGCTGGAATTGGATAAGAGAAAGTAGGAAAAGCTATGGCTAGGATGAAATGATTCAGCTGTGGATGTTAGCAGAATTAATTGTAATTGTAAAACTTGAAACTCTAGCACTAGTATAAAATTAGTCATCTCAGAAGCAGGAGGAAGCATCTTACTACCAACAAAGAAGAAGAGCCATGAGTGGAGTCTTTAGAAGCTCAGCCTTTGGGCCCTGACATCACTGCACATTGAACCTTCTCAACCCAGGGATGGAAAGCTGTGACATCAGAAAAGTGACCTAGGAGCAGCAGCAGAAGAATCAAAACTTAGAGCACTAGATAGAGCAGTGGACTTCACAGCGCATGGAACAAGTAAAGCTGGTAACATTGGGCAGGAAGCTTGCTTGTACAGTGGGGTATCTCCAGGCACTTTAGAGAAGTTTGGCTTGCTGACCCATGGAGCTAGAGCTGATTGCCTTCAGGTTAAAGCTTATCGTGGAGTGATGTGTCCTGTGGGCATTTGTCAGCAGACTACAGAAGCAACTGTGCTCTGAGGATTTCCCAATTGTAACCTGTTAATTCCCCTAGTAAACCCCATAACTCTGAGTATGGTACCTGAGTTCAGTATGGTCATTGTAGCAGATCATCAATTCCAAATGAGGAATAGAAAGGGTTTGTGGGAAGAATTGTTGATGCCACACATATTTTTACAGATCAAAAGTAGAAAATAAAATGAATGATCAGGATTTCATCAGGAAAATTGTAAAGGCATTTTAAAGAATCTAGATTTTTTTAATAGACAAAGCATTAAAAAATAAAATTTAGTTATAATCAAATAAATGTACTCAATCCAGCGTATTAGACAGATACAAAAAAGATGTGGAAAAGAAGCCATAGCTTTTAATTTACTTTTTAAATTTATACAAATTCCATATGATACTCCACTCAAAAATACGTTCTGTTTTCTTGAATCATTAATAAATATTATCATCCTTATTTCCAAGCATTGCTATAGACACCAAAGAGAGAATAACCTCTATATTTCTACTAGAATCACTTAATATTTTCATATAAAAAAAAAACTGTACAGAGTAATATGTATCACCTTACCAACACTCTGGTAGAGTAGTGGTTACGAATCGGGCTGTGAACCTCAGGGTCAGCAGTTCGAAACTACCAGCGGTTCCGCGGGAGAAAGATGAGGCGTTCTGCTCCCATAAAGATTTACAGCCTCAGAAACCCTGTGCAGGGTCACTATGAGTCGGAACCGACTCCACAGTACTTAACAACAACAACAACCAACACGCATTCTTTGAAACAGTCAACTATTTGTCAAACAAAATAGCATTTCCCTCTCCTTGCCATTTTGTTGGTATTGAGTGTTGTTGAGTTGGTTCCAACTCCTAGTGACCCTGTACAGGGTTTCCAAGGAACACCTGGTGGATTTCAACTGTCAATCTTACAGTTTCCAGTCCAGTGCTGATCCTACAGCGCCACACCAGGAGTCCTGACCTTGTAATACTACTTTTCAACTCGATGATTTTTAACAAAGCACATTCTATCCTTGTAACTCTGATTATTATTTGTTATTGAGTAGATTCTGACTCATAATGACCCTACAGGACAAAGAATGACCAGAGTTTTCATAGCTATAATCTTTATTAAAGCTCCCATGAAGCAGTGGTGAGTTTCCATTATCAGCCCATTGAGCCTGCACCTCCAGGACTCCTTGTACTTCAGATTAAACACAAATAAATTGAAACAGTTAAACAAAATTATTTGTTAGAACTTCTTCTGGGTCTGCAGGAACCTAGTGGCCCAGTGGTTAAGTACTTGGCAATCTTGAGTCAGAATCAACTTTCTTGGGATGTTTTTGAAACTTTTTATTGCAAATTATGTTTGCAAA